AGGTGATAATAGAACCAGGGTGCCTGAGGCATGCCCAGTGTCCTTAGTTTAGGAGCAAAAGTTAGGTTGTGTGTTGAGGTCATTCTTCTCTTGGGTCCCTGGACTTCTTGGCTAGTCAGAAGGAGTGTCTGCTTTAGGGCGTGCATTTTTATAATGTTTCATGACTGATTCCAGCTTTTTAGTTCTGATAGTTCCATGCTGACTATGGAATAGAACGGGAGGAGGGAAGGTGGGTCAATGTTCCCAACCCTGGGGCCGAGGCTGGCCCTACATGAGCTGTGTTGGAGTGGAAAGAATATTGGCCCAGGTGTCTGAAGGCCTAACAGAGAGGCCTCTTTGGGGCTCAGCATCCTTATCTGTCAAGGGGGGTTATGATACCCATCTATATACTGTCTAGACCTTGGGTAGGGCAAATCCAGGACTGCTGTGAATGGCTGTGTACAGCTGAGCTCCAGGGCTGCAACCAAATCACTCAAGATCGACCCCCACCTCCCATGTCATTGTTGTTATATGACATTAGAAACAACACAATGGGATGGGGTGAGGAATGAAGAAGGAAATAAATAACGAACAAGCATTTCTTTGAGGTCTGATGTTCCCATTTTATAGTTGGGGAACTCAGGCCCAGTGAGACAGATTAATAAGTAACTTATGTGGCAAGAAAGGCAAAGACTGCATTCAGATCCAGACCTTCCTAGTTGCCTTTGGCCCATTTTCCTGGGGATCTGGTGCCTTCTGAGAAGGATTAATGTAGATTAGCCTGATTCTCCTGTCAGTTTTCAGTGTGTTAACAGAGTGGTCCCTGGGGCTGTTATTGTGCCTTTCAAATCCCCCATCTTAGGCTGGGGAAAGTCCAATGCATAGGCCTTTTCTTTCACCACATCCCATTGGCTACTCCTGCTACTACCTCTCCTAATGGGGTGTCCCAGGTGGCTGGAGTGAAGACATAACAAATTCTGTTAGGGAGGGACTTACCTTTGTTTAAGAAAATGCTGTTATAGCCATCCTGAGGGTAGGAGAGAGCAAGAGAAAACAAGGGATGGTCAGAGGCTCTGCTTACAAAAATGACCCAAATTTCACCTTCTTCATGAGACCAATGCAGACCTCCTTATTTAAAATTGAATCCTGTATTCCCCAGCATGCTTGGTCCTTCACCTTTGCTTTTGCTTTTCTCTGTCTTTTCATCAGAGCAGTCACCACATTCTAATCTACTCTGTAATTTGCTTGTTTATCACTTTATTTATGTTTTCTGTTTCACATTCATGACTACACTCAAGGAGGGCAGTCTCTGTCTCTTTGCTCAGATACCTCCCAAATGCTTGGAGCAGACCTGATGCATAGTGCAAAAAAAAAAAAAAATGTTTGTTGAATGAAAACATGAGCTTGGGAAAAGGAGGGAAAGCTGAGTGACAGAGTAGGTCAAATGGATAAGTAGTATTTTCAGGATGCCTGGGTGCTCAGTCAGTTAAGCATCTGACTCTTGATTTTGGTTCAGGTCATGTTTTCATGGTTTGTGAGATGGAGCCCCCCATCTCAAGTTGGAGCCCTGGGTCAGGGCTTGGGATCCTCTGTCTCTCTCTCTTTCTGCTCCTCCCTGGCTCACGCTCTCTCTTTCTCTCAAAATACGTACATACATACATACATACATACATACATACATACATACTTTTTTTTAAAAAACAAAGAGATATTTTCAAGAACGGGGAACTCCAAGTTTAACTGAAAGCTGGGGATGTTGGTGTGATGTGGTGTGTGTGTGTGTGTGTGTGTGTGTGTGTGTATGTGTGTGTGTATGGATATTTGTGTGTGTGTGTGTGTCTGTGGTTTATGATGTGTGTGAATATATGTCTGAGTTTGTGTGTATGTCAGTGTGTGCATGAATGTGCATGCATATGTGTCTTGAGGTGGCAGGGACAGCAGAAAGAAGAAAAGAGCAGGTAACTCCAGTTTATTCTCAATGCCAGGAGCATCGATGGCACAACATGAGGCTGCTGGGAGGTGCTGACCCAGGTTCTTATCAATAGTGGCTTCCCTGATGGTGAGGCTGGATGAATTCGAGTGTTGGTGTTGGCAGCAGAAATGCTTGTGGGCCCCTCACACAGGCATGTAGGACATGCTGCAAGCAAGGGCTTCGTGACCCCTCTACCCTGTGAGGCTGCACAGTGGGTTTGCCCTCATCTTGGCTAAAGGACTCTGAGACTTATTGAGGCCCCATGGGGCCTGACTCCCCTTTCCTAAGCTGCATGGACTCTATATGGCCTGATTCTGAGTTCTGACTCTGCCTGAGCTGTGTGATCTTGGGCAAGTCTCTTATGTTTCTCTCCTGTGCCTTCATTTCCTTATCTGTAAATGGGCTAATCAAGGTGACTGCTTTATCAAGCTGGTATAATGTGAGGCTTGTGACTTATTAACAGATACTGTAATCCATTCTGTGGACCACAGCCAACATAAGACCATGCCTGAGACACATCTTACTTCTTGCATGCTTTGCCAAAGGCAGGCCTTAACCAAAGTTGCACTCAAATTCTGGAGGCCTCAGATAGTTGACCAACTGCACAGCTGCCAAAGGATTAAGCTCCCTGTGGCCCTGTGGCTGGGCAGAGTCCAGCCTGACCCAGAAGCCCCTCCCTGCAGGCAGCTGTGGTTTCTGATTGTGTAGTCACCTGCTATATAAGACCCTTCACACACCTGCTCTAATCCTCTGCTGGGATCCACCTTCTGTGGGCAGTCTCCGGGACAGACTCTGAAGGTGAGGGGCTGAAGCCAAGCTGTGGGGGTGGGGGGAGGGTGTCCCACCTTGAGAGGAGCTGAAACCAAGGGAAGGGCATTGTGGGGGCGGTTGTAGTCCAGGGCATTCTCATAGCTCTGGCTTCTTTAGCAACACTCAGGAAAGGGAAGGCTGGTGAGGAGAGATGTGTGCATTGTGGGGTTTGCTCATGGTATGTGCTTTGTCCTTTTCATACCTGCTCTGAACTCTGCTTGCCTATGTATAAAATGAAAGCAATTGTGGTAGAACCCTCTCAGGCTATTGAAAATATCCAATTATAGAATGAGTGGAAGGAAGTACTTTGCAAAGGGTGTTTTTAGATGCTGCGTGTTCACATTTTCCATATGAGGCTCCCTTTCCCAACCTCCACCTCACTGGCTTCAGAGGTGTCAAGCAGGGCCCAAGTTCTCACCACTCCAGACTCTGACTCTCTGCCATGTGTCCCTGGACTGGATCCTGATCTCTCTGGGCTTCCTTTATTTCCCTATGAAAATGAGGCTAATAATCATGTTTATGCCACAAGGAGAAGCAATTCATGTACCAGGCATGGCTGCTATGGCCTCTTTACACTCATCTCTTTACCTCCCTTTCCATCCTCTTCCACACTCACAAGGCTTGAGAAGACCCTTCCCAGGAGGCTCACCCCCATGAGCCTCTCTCCCTACTGGGGTTCCTGAAGCCTGGAGGGGTCATCGGGCATGGGCACATGCAGGGTGCAATGAAAAGAACATCTGCCACAAGCTTCAAATTAGACATACTTAATTTTTCTCCTTTTTTTTTTTTTTTTATATTTTGTGGCCATTAGATAATATATGGGCCCATCTGCCTCCCCTGATTGAACTAGTTTCTCTTCATTTTCACCAACCCCTAATAAGTCAACTAAGAGATCATAGTTGAAGTGGTGTGTGTGGTGTGTACATGTATGTAGTGTGGAAAGGTGAGAGGTGAGAGGTGGGCTGCAGCTCCCAGGTGAAAGTCAGTTCTCCCTATCATGGTGCAACTCAGCTTTGGAGCTTAAAGGATGCAGAATGAAGTCCCAATTTTGGCCTAACAAGCTGGGTGAATTTGGGCAGCATTCATTATCTCTGTCTATAAGTTTGCCACCTGCTGAGCAGAGCAATAAGCAACACTGTGAGCTGGGACTTTCTGTGATGAAGGAAATGTTCCAAAGTTGTGCTGGCCAATAAGTGGTCACTAGCCAGGTGACTGAGAAACAGAATGTTGTTTTTTTTTTTCAACATTTCAATGAATCTAAATTCAAATAGCCACATGCAGCTTGTGGCTACTGTTTATAGGGTAAATGAGCTAACAATCAGGAAGGACTCTGGGCAGAGCCAGATACTTCCCCTCCTTGCTCCTTTGATACATGGGCAAGATGAAATTCTGGGAGCTCTGATTCAGGATCCTAATGAATACAGAGAAACAGTAGCTATCAGATGATTGGTGGATACAGAAAGACTGGTGTGCTGGAGCCTCTGGTTCAGTCCTGTAGGCTGATTGTGTTCAGGCCTGGGGCTCTGGTACTCACATGAGTTTGAGGCAGTGTGGGTGGTGGTTAGGGGCCTTAGCTAACCCCAGCTCTATCACCTCCCAAGAATGTGACCTTGACTTTGAGTGATTTATTTAACCTCTCTGGGACTTGATTTTCCCTACGAAATGAGGGCAATGTTAATAATAGTACCTGTCTGCTAGGGTGGAGGCATTACATGAATTAAAGAACACAGAATGCTCAGAATAAAGTTCTCAATAGGTGTCTGCCCACTGGGGTGGTGATGACAACGGTAAGCCCCTCAATTATGTGTATGAGGCCAGATATTAGCTAGAGGATTACATTATGCTCTGGGACAGGAAAGCCCAGCTTTCTTCTTGGATCCCATTCCCAGTGGGGCTGGCAATCTTCTGCTTGCCCATCTTGTACCTGAAGTGGCTCCGTAGGAAATGCACAGGCTGCGTTTTGTATCTGTGTGTAGATGTTTCTGCAGGCATCCAGAATTGGGGAAATCCCAGACTGATGCACATAAAAGGACAGCATAGAAACTGCATCACAAATCTGTGCTCACAGCTAAGAATGCTGACTCTTTCTTTCACAAGGATGGGCTGTGTGCTGGGCTTATCAAAGTATGATTACAATTAGGGGATGTTCCAAGACCCCAGACTGCCTTATTTGTGTCTCTTCAGGCTTAGAGCTGTACAGCCACAGTCCTTGTCCTTGTGAGACACCAGATCCAGCACCATGAAAGGCATCCTCCTTACCTGTATCATCGCGGCACTTGTGGTAACAGCTGTAGGTGAGGGAAAACAATGACACCCTTTGGGAATAAAGACCTCTTTTCACACCTCATCAAGGTCTTCTGTTCTTGGTGCTCTGGGGTTCTCTCATGTGGTCTCTCATGTCAAAGTCTGGTCAGTGGATAATGGGAGACCTCTCTGTGCACACTGGTGTCAGTGGAGCTGGAGTTCTGTGCTGTGGTTATTCCCAGTGGGAAATGGTGGACAGTGGAGAGAAACTAATGGGGGTGGCTATATCTCACAGCCTCAAGTTTGGGGGATGCCAGAGGGAAGGGATACCTCCCAGCTATTCCTTTAGCTTGAGATGGATGTGGTGTTTTGTCCATAGTACACTCTATAAGTGTCTCCTGAATGTTGACAATGTTGGACATCTTGTCTCCCCAGAATCCCTGAGTTGTGTGCAGTGTAATTCATTGACAAACTCCTGTGTCAACAGCAGCATCACTGAGTGTCCCTCAAGTGCCAATGTCAGCTGTACCAGTTTCTTGGCCAACTCTTCTCTAGGTGAGTCTGGGATGCTATAACCCCCATTTCTGGGATTTGCATGGGGCAGGAGCTGGAGAGGGTGGCCAGGGAAGAAAGGAAGGCTGAGGAAAGGCCCAGCTGTGCAAAGAGAGAGGTGGGCTCATGAATATGCCTTCCAGAAGAAGCAAAATTCAGAAGTCAGATGAAAATGCAGGAGCAAACAGACAAGCCCTTGTGGCTTTTTGGAATGGCTGCCCTTGGCTGAAATCTCATTCTGTACCTGAATTAGTGGATGTGAGAAGCAAGGGAACCTCTTAGTAAACTGCAAAGCAGGAACTTTGCTCTGGGTGCTTGCATTCTTCCATTTTTCCTCCCCAATTTTCTGTTTCAGTGCTCATTCCTGTTCCAGATCCAACATACTTTCACTCATACTCCCTCCCAGGGTGTTTTCCTGGCATGATTGTTACCTCTCTCTCAGAGCACTTAGATTTATTTTTAACTTTTTATTATGGGCATTTTCAAATATGCACAAAAGCAAGAAGAAGAATATAATGCATTGCCATGTAACCACTATCCTGTGTCAATAATTATCAACATTTTGCCTTTTTTTGTAATAATATTTTATTTATTTTTTGAAATTTCTTTTTTCTTTTGTTTTAAAATTTACTTATTTTTTTTTTGAGAAAGAGAGAGACAGAGAGAAAGTGGGGGAGGGGCAGAAAGAGATGGGGGCAGGGACAGAATCCCAAGCAAACTCCGAGCTGCCAGAGCAGAGTCTGATGTGGGGCTTGAACTAATGAACCATAAGATCATGACCTAAGCCACAATTGGATGCTTAACCAACTGGGCCACCCAGGTGCCCAAGCAATGGTTTTTTTTTTTTAATTTTTTTTTAATGTTTATTTATTTTTGAGACAGAGAGAGACAGAGCATGAACGGGGGAGGGGCAGAGAGAGAGGGAGACACAGAATCGGAAGCAGGCTCCAGGCTCTGAGCCATCAGCCCAGAGCCTGACGCGGGGCTCGAACTCACGGACCGCGAGATCGTGACCTGGCTGAAGTCGGACGCTTAACCGACTGAGCCACCCAGGTGCCCCGCAATGGTATTTTAAAGCAAACTTAGATATCATGTAATTTCACCTAAAAATACTTCACTATTCATCTCTGATAAGGACCTTTTTTTTCTCTTTATGTAACTACCATACCTTTATATGCCTAAGAAAATTAGCTGGAATTCTTTAATTTTCTGTAGTAGCCAGGACATCTTAAAAATGTCTCAATTGTTTCAGATGTTGTGTTATAGTTAATGTATTAGAATTTATATATAAACAAAATCCTCACACTGTATTTTGCTGTCAGATCTAATATGTCCAATTTGTTTTATAACAGGAATCAATCATCATTTTGTTGTTGTTCAATCCCACTGATTTGTTGGAGAAACTGGACCATTTGTCCTATATTTGTCTCATATTCTGGCTTTGGTTAATTGCTTCTTTGTGGTGTCATTTCTTTCTTCCCCTATTTCTGGTATTTTCCTATAAATTGGATCCATGCTGATCAGTAGAACTTTCTTCAATAATGGAAAAGTTTACATCAATGCTGTCTTATATAGTAGCCTCATGTAGTTATTGGCCATTTGAAATGTGGTTATATGACTGAAGAGCTGAATTTTAAATAGCCACATATAGCTACTAACTACCATATCAGATAGCTCTGATCTAAAAGCTTGACTGTATTCAGGTTTAACATCAGATTGCACTTAGGACCATCAGATCTGCTTGGCTATTTTTCAAGATGCTGAGACTGATAAGTGCACTCTGGAATATTGGCCCGAACTACCATTTTCAAGCTCCTCATCAGTCTTTGTCCTGAAGTTTAGCCTGCACCTCTGCTAGTCTCCTGCTAAAGGAAGGAACTACCTCATGGGGAAAATTTTTTCTTTTTGCAGGAAACTCTCCCAAGTGTCTCTGAAATCACATTGAACTGAGGATATGTTTCTACTGTTTCCTGAAGCAGTCACTATTCAGGGTCTCTGCCCTCTCTGAAGCTTCAGCACCCAGGGATGATATTCTGTGTTTGTCTTTGTGCAGCGGCAGCCATTGCATTATATCAGGATAAGGCCTGCTCTGCAGAGAACTGCAGGGAAGGAAGAGACATGGTTGAAGCTTTCACTGTCCACGTGTCTGGTGAAGAACATTTTCACTTTACAAGCCAGTGTTGCCAAGGGAAGGAGTGTAATGACACCAGTGATGCTCTAGGTGGGTGCTGGCAATGTGCCATCTTCCCTCTGACTACCTGGCCCTGTCCCTTCCTTTGCCACCTGTGGTTCTCACTCTCTGGGGTACATCTCAGGTCCAAGAGCTTCAGTACATATCTAAGTAATATAAATAGCTGACTTACAACAATTACAACAATTACAGGAAAATGGGAAAACCACCACTACTCTCATGCTTTCCTCTTTTCCAAGTACAGACAGAAGTCACAGCACTCCAAGTTGGATGGAATTAGATGCTTATTAGTAGTTCTAAAATGTGGTTTCAGGCCCTATTTTAAGACTGTAGGTATTAAAAATTATGACGAACTCCAGAGAACTTTGATTTATGTGATCCATATGATCAGTATTTACTGTATTAGAAATTTTAAAAATTAAAAAAATGTCCAAAAGAAATTTTAAAAATTTTTATTGAGCTTACTAAAAAATAATAAACCCACATGTGAACATTAATAACATTTTTAAATAGAAAAAAGCTATCTTCCAAAACAAAACATAATGTTTAGTAAGAAAAGTGGCATTGTTACATATTTTCTCAAACATCTTTGGTTTCTGGCTTAATAGAAGACAACTGGGTTCTCAGATTTGCTTGTGCACTTATTTAATCTGTTGCAATCTCTCATGTCATGTAACCTTTCAAAAACTCCACTGTACATTCATGAGAGAAATAGAGTGAAAGAGGCAACGAACATCTTAGTATTATCATGAAAATGGTTTTGACCTTGTGGACTCCCTGAAAGATTCTTGGGTGATTCCCAGTAGTTCTTGGACCATAATTTGATAACTGTTGGTCCATACAAAGCTCTTTCTCTTTTTAGTGTTTATTTATTTTTGAGAGAGAAAGAGCAGGAGAGGAACAGATGGAGAAGGAGAGAGAATCTTGAGCAGGCTCCTTGCTGTCAGTGCAGAGCCCGATGTGGGGCTTGAACTCATGAACCATGAGATCCTAACCTGAACTGAAATCAAGAGTAGGATACTTAACTGACTGAGCCACCCAGATGCCCCTCCTACCAAAGCTCTCTTTTCAAGGAGAAGAAAACATAGCCACAAAGGCAAGGTTAATTGGTCATAGTTCTAGCATAGATCATTAATAGCAGAACTGGGTCTCAGTATAATTTTGGTAAGTAATGGCATGTATTCATTTATTCAGAGAAATATTTATTTATTTAAAGGTTTATTTATTTTGGGGAGAGAGGAACAGAGAGAGAGAGAAAGGCAGAGAGAGAGATATATATATTTAGAGAGAGCGAGGGAGACAGAGCACGAGTTGGGGAGGGGCAGAGAGAGAGACACACACACAGAATCTGAAGAAGCCTCCAGACTCTGAGCTGTCAGCACAGTGCCCAACACAGGACTCAAACTCACTGTGAGATCATGACCTGAGCCGAAATTGGATGCTTAACTGACTGAGCCACCCAGGTACCCCTATTCAGAGAAAGATTTAGTAACATCTATACACTTATTGGCGTGTTCAGCATAGCTGGCTAATGTTGACATCGGTTGGTTTTCTTCTCAGCCCAATGCAACCACTGACCATAGTTCTTAAAGACTGAATGGTTTGTAAGGGCAAGTGTGTGGGGTTGTGTGCTATAACTGTTTTGGGGGGATATGTAACTCTTCGGCTGGGATGATTAGTGTCTTCATGCAATTGCCCATTCTCAAGTTCTCTCTGGCCAGCATATTTGCTTGCTTGTCTCCTTCAGTACAAGGCAGTGTCATGTTCTGTGTTTTAACACTGTTCTAAATTACTCTTATTCTTCCCAGCTCCTCTACAGGAAGATGTGTCCAACAACACAGAGTGTCTTGCATGTTATGGATCTAATGAAACTTCCTGTAGTGTGAAATCCAGGAAATGTTATAAAGAAGAACGGTGTGTTAGTCTAGTTGCAGAATTTAAGACTGGTACGTCTTGGGGTTTTAATTTCCTTTTATGAGACTTGAGTTGAAAACATATCAAGTGTTGGGTAATAAGTTCTAGGTTAACAAAAGAAGGCTGGGGGAGGTTAGTAGGATAAAAAGACAAGGTCAGAATGTCTTTGAGATAGTGAGGCTGTTAATGTAGCCTTGAGCTGGTTGCTATTTCTGCCACCTTAGTCCAGAACCATTCCTTCTGGGCTGTCCACCTCTTGAACCTTGTTCTACTGTGGCTTATAATCAAGCCAGGCCTGTTTAAGTGGATCATGTCATTCCTGGCATTTATTTCTTTACTAGGTTGAGTTGTTCTGTGGGGGTGTGTGTTTGCTTTTATTTCCTTTTAATACTTAACACTTTTCTCTCTACTTGTCACTGAGAAGTGTCGGCTTATGACAACATGGATCACCTGACTGAAAGAGTTAGATTGGGTTTAAGAGCCAACAATTTGCTTTTTTTTCTATAGAATTAATTTGATATTAACCATTATGAAATACAAGTTAACTATTTATTTATTTATTTATTTATTTATTTAGAGAGGAAGAGAGAGAGTAAGAGAGGGTCAGAGAGAGAGGGAGAGAGAGAATTCCAAGAAGGTTCTCTGCTGTCAGCACAAAGTCTGATGTGGGGCTTGAATTCATAAACCATGAGATCATGACCTGAGCTGAAACCAAGAGTCTGACTCTAAACTGATTGAGCCACCCAGGAGCCCCACAACTTAACCATTATAAAATACAAAGCTAATAGTATACCCAAGTATTTAAGGAATAATACATTTATTAGTTAGGTTATGTTTATTACTGTTAAAAAGCAACCTCTAAATCCTCTGGCTCAATGTAACAGATGTTTATTTTTTGCTCATATGGCAGTTGATTGCAGAGTTTTGGGGCCTGTGTTTCTTCCATCTCGAGGCTCTGGTTCCCACCTACCCAGGACTTGGCAGCTGCCTGCTATATTCTTTGAATCTCACCAATAGGTGGGGAAAAGAGAAGAAGTGGAGGAAGGCAGGAAAGTCTTTTTTTTTTTTAATGTTTATGTTTGAGAGAGAGAGAGAAAGGAAGAGAGAGGGAGACAGGGGATCCAAAGTGGGCCCCCCACTGACAGCAGAGAGCCCCATGGGGGGCTCAAACTCATGAACCTACTGAGCCACCCAGGCACCCAGGCAGGCAGGTTTTTTTAGGCAAGGCCTGGAGGTGCATGAGTCACTTTCTCACATTCTGTTGGCCAGAACCCAAACTGCATTGGAGGGTGGAAATGCATTCTAATGGTGTCTAGTGGTGGCCCAGCAGGAAAGGAAGAGACATGAAGCTAAAATTAGAACAGCCAGTGAGTCTCCATCACAATACGGCTCAGAATAAAAATAGTTTAAGAACACCAACACTCAAGTACAATTTAATTTCAACTTTTGTTAATGGCAATTATAGTATTGGAAATCCATGTTTACATGTAATTGCAGATTCTTCAGTTGGGTCAAACATCACACGTATCTTGAAACTATTTTTTACTTTTTTAAAGATTTTTTAGAAGAGTTTTAGGTTTACAGAAAAATTGAGAAAAAGGTAAAGAGATTTCCACATACCCCATATGTGTTCCCACACATACATAGACTCCCCCTGCTATCAACATTCCACACCAAAATCGAACATTTGTTGTAATCTATGAACCTACATTGACACATCATTATTACCCAGAGTCCAAGGTTTACATTAGGATTCACTGTTTGTGTTGCATATTCCATAGGTTTTGACAAATGTATAATGACATGTATCTACCATTATAGCATCACACACAGTAGTTTCACTGCCCTAAAAATCCTCTATTAATCTCTTACCCCTGGAAACCTCAGATCTTTGTACTCTCCCCATAATTTTGCTTTTATCAGAATATCATATATTTGGAATCATATAGTATGTAGCCTTTTCACATTGACTTCTCTCATTTAGTGATATAAGGATTTTCAAAAAAAATTTAAAAAATCCCTAGGATTTAAACACAGTTCTGATGTTTAATTCTAAACTATGTCTAAAGATAACAACAACATCAGAAAGAATTTCTCTTTCCACTCAGCTTGTTCCCAGGTATCTTTTGGTGCCAAGGATAGATTTTTTTTTTAATCCATAGTATTTGACTTAATCTGAAGGCCAGACAGATCAAAGTGGCCATACATGTAGGGGTGTTTTTTTGTTTATTTATTTTTGCCCACTTCCCCCCCCCCCAATACTGTAGACATGTGCCAAGCAACACATTTTTGTAGCTCACTCTAATTCAATCTCCAGCACTGCTATTTTCTATAGAAAAGTAAGTCATTGTTTTCTTCAAAGGGATTTGGAGAGTTTTCCTTCCTTCTCAAAGCAAGTTTGTAGCCCTTCTTCAGAAAAGTAGCTAGTCCCTTCCGGGTTTTTCCTCCCCTGTGAACTGTCTGTTCCCCAGAGCTGTTTAAGTTGTAGCCATTAGAGCAATACTGGCACATACTATGAGCTCAATAATGGTAGTTGCAATCACAACAACATCTTCTTTGCAAATTCCCTTGGCCTTTTCCTAGGACTTGCACCTTTAACAGGGTTAAATACAATATAATTCAGATTTAGAATTAAGATCACCTCTAGTTTTCTTAGAGAAAATTCAGGCAGAGAGAACTCAGGTCTAAAGAAAAGTGGGGATGGAAAGCAGAACCTGGAGGCGGGGAGTCTGGGAGAAGACCTTCCTGGACTGAGAGCAGAGGGGATGAGCCCATCCCTGGATTTTGTCACCTGTCAGCTCCTCAAGTAAACACTGGAGATTTGAGTCCCAGGCTCATTTCTGTGAGCTCAGGCTTGCATCCACCTTCTGGAGCTTCAGTTTCTTCTGGAGTTAGGTGGGGGTCTGTGTTCTGACCTATGTGGCCCCTCTGCTATTACCATTTGGTGTTATTTTGTTTTTTTAATGTTCATTTATTTTGAAAGAGAGAGAGAGAGAGCAGAGGCAGAGAGAGGGAGAGGCAGAGAGAAAGGGAGAAAGAGGATCTGAAGCAGGCTCTGTGCTGTTGGTGGAGAGCCTGATGCAGGACTGGAACTCACAAACTATGAGACCATGACCTTACCCAACATCAAGAGTCAGACACTTAACTGACTGAGCCACCCAGGTGCCCCTCCATTTGGTGTTCTTGATCCTAGGTCTTTCCTCTAAGCTCTTGTTTTAGATTTAAAACAGGTTTCAGGTTGCTGAGAGGCCTGTGGAAGAAGCACAAAAAGGGAGGTGAAGTCCTTACTGTCTCCATTGCATTCACAGAGTCTAAGATGCTTGTGCTGAAAGGCTGTTCCAACATCAGTAACTCTACCTGTCAGTTCCTATCTTCTGAGAACCGGACAATTGGAGGAGTCATCTTCCGAAAGTTTGAGTGTGTAGACAGTGCCAACACCTCCTCAACCGCCATTCCCAATGCAACCTTGACCACCCCTCCTGTTGGCAGCTCCTCAACACCCATCTCCAATGAGCCCACCACCCCAGATATGGGGTCCAAAGTCTCTTTCACCCCTGCAGCCTTTGCCAGCCTCCTTCTGCTGAGGCTGCTACTCTGAGATTCAACTGCCGCCCTCAAATGCCTCACCCTTCCCCTGTTAACTGCTCAGTAAATAGCAGTCACAGCCTTCCATGCAAAGCCCTGTGACAGCCACATTTTTCTCCATTATTAAAGCACTGGTTCACTGGCTGGCCAAATCTGTCCTGATGTGCTCTGGGATGGGCTTCCTTTCAGCTGCTGCCCAGCACCACAACCCAGTTTCTTGCATTTGAAACCTGTGCACCTTAGTGTGTGGGCTCCCAGGACCTCCCTAATCTGCTCATCTTGCTTCTGAGAAACAGACCCTTTCACCTTATTGGCATTTTCTGCCTAAAGCCCTGCTTCTGGGGACTGACATGCCACCATCCCCACCTGCACACAGTCATGCCTGTAATGCCCTGTGTTAACCCTAGGACTGATATCTGGCTCTTCAGTTATGGTCCTTGATCTGGTCACAGGCCCACAGTGACATTGTTCACAGGGCCCAAAGAGGGGTGCAGAGGAGATGCTGAAGCATGGCAGACTCCCCTGCCTAACCTCACAGGCAGAGACATAATGCTGTTGGTGCTCCAGGTGACCAGATGTTTCATAGCCTTCACAGAATGGAATGTAGCTACGGAGCCCCAGTCCCTCTTCTCGAGAACCTACAATGAAAGACAGAGTTTTTGACTCCATATCAGATACCCAAGAAACAAGAAAGGTATTCAATCCAATAGACACAGAAGTCCAAGTTTAATAAATAAGGTGGGCCTTGAAACGGACTTGGAAGAATGGAGTTTTCTGTAATAAAAATTTTTTGAAGGTATATAAACCAGTGTGGGTCTTGATTGTCCAGGCTTGATGACAATGTATCAAGAGCAAAGCTACCATATGGCAGTAGCTCATCACCACATTCTTATTCGTGTATTTATTTATTTTTTTTATTTTGAGATAACTTTAGTCTTACCAAAAAGTTGTAAAACAACACAGATAATTCTAGCACTCCCTTCTTCCACCTTCCTCTTATGTTTACATCTTACATAACATACTATAATTACTGAAATTAGGAAGTTAGCATTAACACAATATTGCTAAGTAATAGACCTTTGCATTTCACCAATTTTCACTAATGTCCTTTTTTCTGGCCCAGGATCCAATTCTTTGCATTTAATTGCTATGTCTCCTCAGGCTCCTACACACTGTGACAGTTCTGGAGTTTTTCCTTTACTGGAAAGTTATTTTTCATAATGTCCTTCAATTTAAACTTGTCTGAAGTTTTCTCATCATAAGATTGAAGTTACACATTTTTGGCAAGAATGCCACAGAAATATTGTGTCTTTCTCAGTTCATCTTATTGGGAGGTATATGTAACACACATGTAACACACATGTGTTGGTTGAGATAGTATCTGCCAGATTTCTTACCTTTGCCATTAATAATAGGCTAAGTTGTGCTGCTATAACAAATAGGTCTTAGTCAAAAATATATTTAATACAAAGGAATTTAATAACCACAGTTTGTTTCTCAGTTACTTAAACTTGTACAGATGTTTCTGACTAGGCAGACATCCTGGGAAGCTATCCTCTGAGAGTGAGGAAGAACCCAGGATACTTTTACCCCATGGTTCCCCCATGGAACTTCTTGGGCTCTCAGTTAAGTGTTCTGCATCTATCTGGCTGACAAGTTAAGAAAGAGAGAGAGAGAGTTTAGAGAGCCACACAGTATGCTCCAGGGGCCAGACCTGGCAGTTGCATCCAACACTTATGCTCATAATATTGGCCAGAAGTAAATAACATGTCATGAGAGGAAGTAGTTTATCCACAGGCACCTCAAAGTCTCTGTCTCAGAGGCAGTATGACTCAAAGATAAAGGACATGGTCTACAGAACCAGAGTATGGCTTCAGATTTCAGCCCTAGAACACTGAGCAACAGATCTCACCTCAGTTTCCTACCTGAACTGCAGGGATAGTAATAATGCCTGTCACATTGGTTTGTGAGAGCTGCCAACATAGTTCATCTTGGCAATGAGTAAATATTAGACATTAATAATTTTTTTAACATTTATTCATCTTTTGAGAGAGAGAGAAAGAGCGTGAATGGGGAGGGGCAGAGAGAGAGAGGGAGACACAGAATCCGAAGCAGGCTCCAGGCTCTGACTGATAACATAGATCCTGATGTGGGGCTCAAACTCATGGACCATGAGATCATGACCTGAACCAAAGTCGGATGTTTAACCAACTGAGCCACCCAGGTGCCCCTATTGGACATTAATAAGTGACTCTAGTTTGAAAGTGGCTCTTCCACATGCTCTAGGGAGAGAGGGGACAATCAGAAATGGTGATGTAGAAGGCACATACCTGGCCCACTTCCCTCAAAGCATGCTGACCTCACTACCTCCATGTCTCAGGATTCCCTCTCTCATCTCACCCCCTCCCCACACACTTCATGGCTGCTGACACCATGGCCCCATGGACTGTAAGAAGGCTCATCTGCATCCCCCTATGGCTGTCTAATCCAGGCAGCCAAGGGCACCACCAGAGCTGATCTGCTCTTAGAACCTCCTGGAATTTCCCATGCTCAGCATTGATGTGAGGAAGCAGTGGTATTTTTGGTGAACTATAAAGTGTCACACAGGAATGGAAACCAGGATGCTGAGAATTGGGGAGGTGGCTGGAGGGTGAGAGGGCCAGATCGCAGGAGGTCTCTGCATGTTGCAAAGACTCTGGCATTAGACCAAGACTGCGTGGAGCCATAGCATGAGCACATGAATAGGAGTGGGGTTAGGTTTCCATTCTGGGAGGCTCTCCCAGACCTCAGGGTCATGTGGAAAGACAGCAAAAAAACAGGACAGGGAGGGAGTTTAAATGGAGAAGTAGTGGAGACCTGCCCAGGCAGATGCTCTGCTATCCTGCTTTAATTGAGAGTAATTAATACCCTAGAAATGCACTTCTGTTTGCACTGATGGTTCCTGACTCCTCACCCAGAGTAGGGAAGAGAGCTGAGCACAACTCCTGCTCAATGTCTACCTTATTTTTCCTGGTTGTCCATGCTTAACTCCAGACCCCTCTCGTCTGGGCTAGGTCTTGGACTTACCACTGGGATAAAGCCCTTTGCTGCCAATTCTTCCTTAGTCCTAGCCTAGGCTCCAGGATAAGTCCTTATGGCTGAGGAGCTCCACAGAATTCTACACTTACACTGTACAGCTGGACTGATCACAAATGGCTTCCTTTTCTTTCCATTGTACTTTTTAGTTTGTAAAGCTTTTTAGCTCAGGCTATTTTATTTAGAATCAGCTTTATTCAGGTATCATTTACATATGATAAAATGCATGTGTGCAGACTGATGAGTTTTGATAAACATGCCCACTATTCCAGTAAAAATACAAGTGTTACCCCCACCCCCTGAGTTCTGCCAGTATCCCTGTAGTCCATTCGACTCCAGCCCCATGCATCCACTTGTAACTCCACTGTCCCCTCCAGGAAGCGACAGGGCAGATCCTTTGCTCACATTCCATCAAATTGAGCAGTTATTAACTACCTGGACACAAAGCAATGGCTTGGGGTGGGGTGGTCAGCTATTCCCAGCAACAACTCGCCCCATGGAAGGGGAAAGTCAGGGGACCATTTCCACCCGACCCTTCCACCTACTCAGTGTCTCAGCTGGGAAGACAGCAGGAAGGTTTGGAGTTTTCTTTGTGGGCTGGATATTGCGTCTCTCGGTTGAATTATGATCTGAACCAAAACTCCAAATACTTCTTGATCTAAAATATTACCTGAACTAAAGCTAAAACCACTAATCACTGTAAATCTCATCAATTCCATTTTTAACTGGATGAGTGAATATACCCCAAGAGGATGTGAGAGTGATAATGGTCTTGAGACGTTCTGCAAGGGTCTTAAGTATCCAGGTGTGACTGTAGATCTGAGCACCATAGGAAGTTTGAGGGAAAGGATGTCTTGGGGGTGGGAGGTGGGGTGGTGGACAGTGGGCTCAGGGATGGTTGCTCTTAGGCTACAGAGACCAGCTATTTGGGTCAATTCCAAAGATTCTGGTGTCCTCCAAAGTGCTGCCACTAGCTAAGTTGCTAAAAGATATAAGGCTTCAAGTACAGTGTTTCAGGAAGAAACACTCTTCATGGAAGAAGAGTGACCAGTTAGAAGAATTTTGCTGAAGAAAATTGTAACCCATTCCCAAGTGATGTTTTAATTTGCATTTCTCTAATTATGGAGTATGAATATTTTTTCACATGTTTAAAGGCTACAAGGATTTTATATACATCTTACATATTTTGTCTGTTAATGTCTTTTCCTTATTTTTCCATTGAATTTCAGTTCTTGGTCCTTCATTTTTTTTCATTTTGATTTAATAGGTGCAGAAACAAACACTGTAATCATATCAGTAGTGTGTCTTGAAACTTTAAATTTACAAAAGTATAACATATTTTACTTCATTCAATCTTTATAAAATGGTTATGATATAAATTAATAAAATTATATTATAATATAATTGAGCATTAAATAAACAACTGATGAAATAATACACAATTGGATACTAAGTTCCACAGCCTAAGCAGGTACTAAACATTAAATATTAATAATAAGCATTTAATATTATCATATTGAACATTTCTAATAATCTTTTAACAAAAAGGAGGCTTTAGGAAATGTAGAGTAATTGCCTTTTTAAAAAATGAGTAGAGTAAATGTGTTTTTCTAACCAATTTAAAATGAAAATCTTATAGTTTTTTTTTTTTTTCCAGAACTCATTGTCCTACATGGATATATGAATAATATCCCACATGTAAGAGCTTTACTTTTGTTTTTTGTATTTTTTAAAGTAGATTTCATGCTCAGCGTGGGCTGGAACTCATGACCCTGAGATTGAGAGTCAGATGTTCTACTGATTGGGCCAACTAGGCTTCTCTTAAGAGCTTTACATTAATAAAACTTAAAAAGTTAACCATTTTAGCTAGTGGCATTGAGTACATAAACAGTGTTGTGCAACCATCACTGATAACTAGTTCTAGAATACCTTCATCAT